GNANTAATTGGAGTTGAATTGCATGTGTTGAGTGGAGACGCTGATATATGTGATTTAATCTACGGTTTTATCGATCTCGAGAGGGACGATAGGCTAAAATTGCGATCATCTTATAGGGTAGATAAAGAAAATAGTTAGTTGTGATAAATTTGAAGGAACCCAACTGTTAATTGAACCCATAGTCTTAGAATCTACCATTCCCATATATTCTTCTTAAGTGTTTTTCTAGTTGTTTTCTTATTCTTGCTTTATTTCCTTTGATTATATTTCCTTAGTTTAGTTAATCCATCTCATATTCGGTCGTCTAAATAAAGTTGGCACTATCATAATCTGGTACTTGATATATTAATTATTTAGTCTCTTGGGATACGACCTTGCTTGCCACATACTACGAGCGAAGCCGTACACTTGTGGTCGAGCTTTAAAAATATAGGCGAACACCCAAACATCATTCTCATGATAACATCCTTACGAGCTTCTGATGGACATTGAACAACACATCGAAGTTTGTCGGTGTCGTTCATAAGAAAGCAATAAATGTCAGTGAGTAAATTACTTTCAAACCCGCATTCCTTAATTAAAGCCCAAGTTTCTTCGCCAGAAATTGAGGGAACTTTACGAGAGTACATGTCTTTGAGTAGCTCATTACCTTCTCGTAGCGCAGTGGCAACGTTATCTATTGCACCTTTCATAATCTCAAACTCGGACGCTTTATCCTTCATTGCATCTTCCTTTTTTCTTTTCTTACTAGTTGCTCCACTATTTGCCCCCTTTGAACCATGTTGAGTAGAGAAACTGAATATATCATTATCCACGTCAATAGAATCCCAATTATTCTCCAAGACAGCTTCGTTTTGAGATACAAGGTTGTCGACCTCATCGACTGTTGTGGTAAATAGATTCTCAGTTGATGAAGCTCGCCTCTTTCTCATCTCAAATGCGGTCTCCGCATCCTCACCAGTTGCTCTATCATTTCCATATAAAAGCACCATTTTCTCATAATTTGGAAATGGGATAAATCTCAATGTTGCTGCCTTTGGTTTCGCCTGTTAAGAGAAAAAACATAAAGAATATATAGAATTAGAGTACAAGTTAACACACATGATAATAAGACTGATATACATGAAACATTAATTATTACGAACCTCAATCAAAGCATCCCATACTTGTGGCTCCGCATCCCATAGCTTTGTAGTTGAATTCCAAGCAAACCCGCTCATTCCACTACTATTAAAAATATCATAGACTTCTGAAAATTTGTTTTTCAAAGTTTTCCATCGATTTTTCACTTTCTCCTTATCAATATTCTTGCCAAACAATGCACTAAGCTCCTTCACAATGTTCTCATATGCGGTACTAGTGAAAGTACCATTAACTTTATTACCACAATTATACTCATTAACAAAAGCATCAATGAGAGCATCATCCATACTTCTTGTCCAAATTAAGTTCTCTTTTCCTGAGATATTTGGACTTGAAGACTTCTTAGGACCCATTTCTACAAAGTTAAAACAAATGAGACATTCACATTAGAAATAAAACCAAAAAGTTAAATGGCAGCAATTCCAACCACAAAAAATAACACTTTATTACTCAAAACATCACATAAAAATAAAAGCAATCAAGTTCAAATAAACAAATAATTAAGACAATGCATTCAAGTCAACTAACAAACAGACTTACTGAAATTGTGCAAACCATACATTATGAATTATCAAGTTCATAATCTAACCACATCTCGTTTGCTATACAATCCCTTATAAACTCTCCCCGAGCACCCTCTTCGCTATCTGATCTGAGAACATAACTATCATCTTCAGTTGGATTTTGTCTGGCAAGTTCATCATCTACCTCAGCAATAAGTTCTTCATTAGGGTCCACACTCATTAGATAATTATGAAGAATGCAACATGCAACAATAATGAATTTCTGGGCTTTCACTCCAAAATTAGGTTCTGCACCCGAAGATAATATTTCAAAACGCTTTTTCAGTACACCAAAGGCTCTTTCAATTGCATTACGCAAGGATGCATGACGAAGATTGAACAATTCCTTAAAAGTTCTTGGTGGATTTTTCGCCGAATATTCTTTCAAATGATACCGAACTCCTCTATAAGGTGTAATCAGTCCACTCGTTAACATGAATCCAGCATCCACAAGATAATATTTTCCTATAATTATAACAAAAAATTATAATTCTTAACATGAGAAATTATTGTGTCATAATAGATAAAATTATATATAAAAGATTTTTAGATTACAGCTCCTATTACCTTCAGGGATTTTTAGTCTATCTTCTCTCCTTAATGCATTTTTTATAATTCTTGAATCAGAGGCAGTGCCTTCCCATCCGGAAAGCACATATGTGAATTTTAAATCGAATGTACAAGCAGCTAAGACATTTTGTGTTGGAAATTCCTTTCTCCCACAATAACGAGGAGCATCTAATTTAGATACCTTTGCACGTATATGAGTTCCATCAATAGCACCAACACAATCCTGACATTTTAAATTATTATTAATTAAAAAGGAAAAAAAAGTTTAACTAAATTTATTCAGTAATGACAAACAATTACCTTAAAATAAAGGTAGAACCGACTACTGTTATGAATTTCGTCTGGCACGGTTGAACCATCAGGTTGTACAAGTAATTTATCTCCACACTCAATTATAGCCCTCAATACTTGATGGAAATGTCGACTAATCGTTTCACCAGAACGTCGAAACCAAAAGTTCACCTCACGATTCTTTGCTTTATGCGTTAATATGTATAATGTTTTGGCAACTTGTTCTTCCACACTTGACCATCGCGTAGGTTTTATCCCACCCTCTCTTTCTAACATAGCACATAAGCTCATGAAAGCTCTTGGACTCATCCTAGTAATATTCTTACTATCTTTATTATTAGTAATCCTATAAAGTATTTCCTGACGCATCTTTTCTCTCTTTGAACTCATGCTATAAGTAACATTTTTTTTAGAGGGAGCCTTAATGCAACAATAAAAGGCAATTATGCATATTAGGTGGGCCACAACTCTCCGGCGAAGATCGTACCATCTTTCTTCAAAGTTATCCATACTTAATGCAACCACATAGAGAAAGAGTTAGCTTTAAAGAAGGTGTTATTTTTTAACACATACTAGAATAACATATATCAAACAAATAAGAAAACCAAATTCTAACACATACACAAGCCTTCATTAACAACTAGAATAAAAAGAAATTTCACTGGTACTTGTAGCAAATGAGTAAGGTCAACAATCAATAAATACTAATAGTACTCAATTAATAAATATTAGTAGTACTTAATTAATAAAACCACCGTGAAATAAAAAATAATATAAATATACAACAATATTACCATCTATATAATATTCAATCTTCTCCACACAATTAGAACATGTTTGGAACTTATCGAAAATTAATATTTTAGAATAAAATTGTTAATCTAAGCATCTCTTCAATAAACTATCCAGATAGATGATCTTTTTTTTTTTTCAAACGGATAAATTTATTGCAACCTCAAAAATTACAATAGTCCAACAACAAACCGGGTAACTTCAACTAAAGTATATATATAAAAAAAAAAGATGCAAACACATACTTCCATCCCCTAAACAATCATAACCAGACAAAAGACTACTACCCAAGTACCAAAAGAAAGAAAAAGAAGCAAGCCTAGCACCTGTACAATAAAAAAGCTAGATATAAACTAGAACATACAACAAGCAACCAACTAGAAAGAAAAACAATAACCAAAAGGTGGAGCACCACCAAAAGACCCACAACCACTTTTACACTGGTAAAATTAAAGCCATTTTATCAGTTATGCACAAGATTTATAATTTTATACATGTTCTTCTTTACACAATCTGAAAGTAAATATCAGAGATAAAACGAAATGCATTTCTGCAAAACAGACTTTTATACATGTTCTTCTTTACACACTCCTAAAGTTAATAATAATCAGAGAAAAAAAAATTGCGAACATACACACAAATCCACTCACCAAATGTAGTTAATAATAACCAGAGAAAAAAAAAAGTACACTTTCATTTTTTTTATTCAACTTCAACATTTCAATGTAGTTTCTCCATCATTCGAAACAAATAAGATTGAGTAGATAATATCAAAATTAACAAATAAATGAACAACAAATTCACAGCGTGTTGCCCTTATTTTTTTCTCAATTCATTTAAATGAAACACAGAAAATAGGAAGTAGGTTTTACATATAAAACTCCAAAATTACTCTCGCAAATTTTGATAGAAGTTTAAGAATAAGATTACCTCGGAGAAGCTGGAATCAACGAACCACGAATGAATTTCACTCGATTTGTTGATTGTGTGCAGGCCCTTCTAGCAAAACCCCTGTTCTCGCAATCCCTTTTTCTTCTGGCTGGTCACAAATGAGCAGAAAATAGGGTTAGGTTTTATTTATATGTTGTAATTTTGTAATTGTAATGAGTTGATAAGGGCAAATTAGTACCATTAGACATCATTTTTTTCTTCCCCTCCAAATTCCCCCAAAATTGGAGGGGAGCCAATTTTCCGCCGGGGAGGGAATCTGAGGGAAAAATTTCACCTCCCTTCCATACCAAAAATTGAACCAAACAGCGGAAAAGTAAGATTTTCCCTCCCCTCCCTTCCCCTCCCCTCAGTTTCCTTCGAACCAAACAGTACGTAACTGATATTGCAAATACAGTCCGTGAAGACATTCAAATGGTGACTAGACTTTGCTGCTTCTCAAGAGACAGTGATGGATTGCAAGAATACCAACTCGACCAAAAGAGGTAAATGAAGAAGTTGACGAAGCTGAGTGCAGCCAGCAACCAGTAGAAAAGGTCCAACCTGTCCCTGTTGAGGTCATTTCCCCCCAGCCAACCATGTCCTCCTCACCCGAGCAAACTCTGTTCACCAAAGAAACCAAAAGGGAGCTCAGGTAAAACCCGAACGAGTACGGACAGTAAGTCATGGCTGTTAGGAAAGACAGCATTCCTTGCACGGATTGCTTGTAGAAAAACTCGATAAGCCCCACTGCAGTGAACATTTCTGAAAGGCCGAAAATTAGATACTGCGGGGATATCCACAAAATGGACAGTTTCGAGGGTGAATTCCTACGCTTGTGCTCGATTAATGCTGCTGTGGCCATTGAGAAAGTGGCGATGAAGAGTCCCATTCCAATTATGATGTTATGAGTTTGATTTGAAATCGATTGGAATTTCGTGATCGTTGGGATGAATTTGTACGAGCCGAAGATATTCGCACGGGCTACATTTTGTATTTCGAGCGCAACAGTCTGTATGAATTTGTTGTGAAAGTTTTCACTTGTAATTCGGTTGAACGACCTCCCCAATATCGCTTCTTAGTAGATATGAAGAAAACGCACGTGCAATGGGCACGTTTGGTACGTATCACCTTTCACTTTAAATTCGAAACCAGGAAAAGGAACGAAATATTTTATTATTAATTGTATTGACTATTGTAGGCCATTCCGATGAGTTTTTGGAGGGAGCATATCGAACACCAAGTTAATGATACTACGAGAGCAATCTTATTGTGTAAAGGAGGTCGATACATTGTTCCAATAAACCAAGCGCATGGGAAGGCGTTGATGGAACACGGTGATGCGCGTGAATTTATGGATCACAGTGGAATCGTGGAAGGCATCACATGCGTATTCATCTTAATTGGGTATGAGTGTGTTGTTTTCAAGGTACGGTTACTGGATGGTTGACAATGTAATCGTGCAAGAGTGTTTGGCGTACAAACACCGGTTTTCGTTATCTTTCATGTTTGGACTAATTTTATGTGTTGGAATTCGTAATTGGACCAGTTTTCATTATCTCGTTGCATGAATTATTGCTTTTCACGGTTCGTTTTATTTTTTTAATAGGTTATACATAATTATTTTTTATGCTTCTCTCCACTTGGCTAAAAAAAGGCTACAAATAAAATTGGAATAATTACATGATATAAACAAATATAACAACACATTATAAGGTAGATGCGGGTGATAACTGAAAATTATGTAAAAAACATACAAAGTGTGGTTTAAAAAGATAGTAATGTAGGCCGAAATATCAATTTAGGTGTCCTTAATAGAATGAAAGGTGTGTTCGGGTTACACTAATACAAACGATTTTCGTTCTATCTTTGATTCGCCCACAAGGCTTGCGCTATCGTGTCACACAAGACACAATGGTCACCAACATTGGGGTTCGAGTTATTATTATTGGACATAAAAGCAAAGGTACGATCTTGAGGATCATGTCGGCGTACGTATTCTGGGTTTCTGAATTCAGGCGGCATGTTTTCTAGTGGTTCATGAATCCGAATAAAGTTGTGTAGAACACAACATCCTATTACTATGTCGGTTTGGGAGTGGACTGTGTAGTTTGGCATCAGCCCCTTTATGATAGAAAACTTCCCTTTTAGCAAGCCGAAGCTGCGTTCTATGACATTACGGACAATGGCATGTCGTCTGTTAAACAACTCACGAGCATTGCCGGGCAACTGGTTAGACCCCAACCACTCTGGAAGATGATATCGTTCACCACGATATGGTGTCATGAAACCTGGGATATTTGCATATCCGGAGTCCACCACATAAAATTTACCTACATTTTGAAATGTCCACCAGAGCACAAGAAAAAATTGATAAATTTCAATATAATTTAACTAAGTTAATAATAGCATATGAATAGTGTGATGATGGAATTACCTGGTGGTGGAAAGGGAAAAGCATATCTGGGGTCGGACATAGTGTGATTAAAAATTCGTGCGTCATTTGCACTGCCTTCCCAGCCAGTTAGGACGAAAGTGAACTTCAAGTCAAAATCACACGCCAACATGACATTTTGCGCCAAATAACCTTTCCTACATCTGTAAGAACCTAGTTGTCCTTCGGGCACCCACGCTGGTATAATAGTTCCGTCAATGGCGCCAATGCAATCCTGACATTAGTGATTACAATTTGAATTTGACAATAAAAAGTTACTTGTAAAATCTACTGTATTGGACACATGAGGTGGAATATATTTACCTTGAAGTAGGGATATAAGTTACGATTATTTCTTATCCATGGTGCAACACGGTTGAAGTCAGGGGGACGAATGTAGTCAGGGGCTAGATAACATAGAGCATTGATGACTTTGTGACAATGACGACTAATCGTCTCCCCCGAGTGTTTGAATGACTCAGCCGCACGTCGTTGTGTTTGATGACCTTTTATTGTATGCAGAAAAATGGCTACGCTTTCTTCAATGCCTATTTTTTGTTGTCGTGTTTCCTCGTGGAATCCCGCTCTCTTGATTTCATCACAAAGGATGCTAAAATGACATTGATTTATGCCCATTGCATCTTTAAAGCGACAAGGATTTCCAGCTAATAGTTCATTTACCCAGTCCAAGCCCGTGTAGGTGGATTCTCGGTAAGGGGTTCTCCTTAAAGGGGGAAATACGGCCGATGAACTTTCAAAAATGTTTACAAGTTGGTGAAACTGAGCGCCCACCATTAAGGATGTTTCCATGGGATCATACTCTTCCACCGGCTCCAAATCACTATCAATGTCTTCAGGCAAATGATCGACATCTTCCTCATATGTGTCACTATCGTCAACATAAGACATCCTACAATTAAATGTATAATAAATACACGCATACAAATGCCACAAACAAATTATAACATAAGCATGCAGTAGCTAATGTAGCTTGGAAACAAAGTTAAACATAGTACACTCGTAGACTATATGAAGATAGAAAAGGCCAACATCAAATAAAGAGCAATAAAAAAATTCGCCACCCCCCTTCAAGCATCACCGGGACCCTCATCCACCCACATTTTGATAATAGTACGACGTCTCTCGTCACTATTAATCGCCGCAAACATTGCTTGATTGGTGGGATCCCGCAACTTCTTGCAAACAAACTGGAAAAGATCTTCGTCCATATCCGGCATTGCTTGAAGGTCGCGCATAGCTTGTTCCATTGTCGTTAGCTTTGGGGGTCTGTTGGTTCTTTCTCTAAGGGACACATTCAAGTCTGACCACGAATACATTGCTGTGTCGAAACTAGCCTCTGTGCCTCTCCTCGGACGAACATACCGTCTCTGCCTACCCTGCCGTGCATGAGATGTTGGGGTGACCATTGGTTCGTCTTCTTCCTCCGCGACAAAATCCTGGCTCACATGTGCGGACGCCTCACGACCGTTCACACGTCCCTCAGCCACCCGTTGAGTTGATGCCCTCGCATTTGACCCCGTAGCAGTAGTGCCGTGAAAAATAGTAGTCAGTTCTTCATAATGCATACACACCTTACCCTCCATGTCATGGTCTTTTCGATTTGCCTATGCACGTGACATAAAAAAAGTAAATTTTAACACGAGGAGCATAACATGAACCCATAACAAACAATTTTAATTTCCTTTTAAACAGAAATCATGGCCAGTAAATATAAGATTGCATATATAATTTAAAAAAAACGCCAACATGAACCAATCCTTCCAACAACATACAAGTACAGGCCGCAATAAACTCAAGCGCATTTTAAAGAGTCCTCAGAACAGCAATAACACATGAAACAATTTGAATGTTAACACGAGGATAAAAAAATACTTACGGTTGTCCATTGCGTCCAAAATTCAGCGGGTCCTTCAATAGTTTTTTTATCTTCATTCCATCCCAATCCGGTGGCGTTGGTAACTATGTTGTGAAACCGTCTCCAGTACACTTTCATACGTTGATACTTACTCTGTAGCTGAGCAACTTTGTAAGGATAGTAAATAGGACACCTCTCTGTCAACTTCCCAAGAATGGTCCCCCATTGATTAGGTGTGAACTTACCGGCTACACGGTTTCCTAACTGGACTTCTTCCAACAAAACACCCACAAATGCGGCTTCATTTTCGGGAGGCCATTTTGCGTCTCCTTGACTATTATCAGTCGAAGTACCAATACCACCGGTCTATGACATCTACAATTATGACATATAACAAACCAACTACAATGTGGTATGGTGCTCTTCACATGTTAAAATAAAAATAACAATTCGAAAAACACGAAAACAAATGCATTTTTATCCTACATTGTACAGATGAAAAAATAACAGGTAACATCAAAAGCAGTGTACACTTGGAATTGAACTTTCAAAATTAGCTAACATATGTAATTAAAATGTAATGTCTAGAAGCAAGTGTTCACCACAATTACCCTATCAATTTTGTTGGCATCGATATCCCTAACTAACCAAAAAAAAAAAAAAAAAACTATTTTATTCCTGCGTCTTCCTGTTAACATCTACACATAGGAGCCCCAATTTCATAACCCACATAAATCACAAATATATTCAACAGGCTATACAAATAGCAATGGTCCGTTCACAGTGCGCTCCAATTGTAAACCCAATTTTGATGGAAACAAGCATTTATGTGCATAATTTTTCAGACGCATTAAAGAGAGTATAATCTACCTTTGTTGGCCGGAGTCTTTTCTTTTTCGGAGATGTGACGGAGACGCTACCGGTGCTCTCGGTACTTTGCTCAGGGCGGCGATCGATCTCAAATTCACCGTCTTCGTTTCGTACTGTTGCCGGAAGTGAACTCTTTGAGCAACCCTCCATACGCAGAAGAGGTGGTTGGGGGGATTTTATGGAGGAAATTTTTAGGGCGACGAGATAGATGGAGAATCCTACAGCTATTAGGATTTGAAATGTGAAGGTATGGGTCAAAAAAGAAGGGAGCGGAAATGAATTTCGCTGCAGACCTTGAAATTGGGCAAAAAGAAGGGAGCAGAAATGAATAAATTGCAGGCGTGTTGGTGGATGTCAGTAATTGTAAGTGGGCCCAAAGTAAACACTCATCAATTGGTATCCAATCACAAGCCCAACAGTATTTTGGGTAAAATTTAAGTTTTTTTCTAGTCCAATTGATATCCAATCGCCCCCTAAAATATTAATGGTCAATTGATGGTCCCAAAAAAAATTGATGCAACCCAAGACTAAAATGTTAATTAGCTTTCTTTCCCTCTCTCTTTCGGTTTATTTTGATCGATAATAAACAATCAATGGTGGTCCCACTTAAATTTATTGACCTGCCCCTTTGCCCGTCAATTCAAATTTTTAGCAACAGACTGACGACATTGTAATTTTATTTTCACTTGAACCCTAAAACTTTTTAAATTTACAAAAGCAACCCACTGTACAAAAAAATTACAAATTTGATGATTTCATGCCCGTTCATCTCCGAGGAAGCCGCGGGTCTGTTAGTTGCTAGCCACGTCGGTCCGACGACTATCCGCCATGACGGTTCTGATCGACGTCGAAGTCGAGGGGTCAGCGGCGCTGCCACGAATGTCGGTCTGCTCCACCACAACAAAGTCGAGGGAGGTCGCCGTCGTATGAAGCAGCTTCCATGGCGGGCTGGCCACTGTGTTGACAGCGGAGGGCGGAGGGCGGAGGGCAGAGGTACACTTCGGACGGAGGTTGGTTGCAAACGGAGGGAGGGAGGTTAGCTGCGGGCGGAGGTAGACTTCGGACGGTGGCTGTGTGTGTGACTGTGTCGCCGGTGGTGTATGTATGTGATGGTGTGTGTGAGAGAGAGAGAGAGAGAGAGAAAGATAGAGATAGTGAGGGAGAAAGAGATATAGACGACGATCGAGATAGAGAGAGGGAGAGAGATATGATTTTTATGATATATGTGTGGGTCCCACTGATTTTGGATTATGTGAATTACTTAAATGCACCCTAATGTATTTATTTGTCCATGGATATTCATGTATTTACGATTTTGCCATTAATGAATTGACCATTGTTATTTAATTTTGACTTCATCATGTACGTTGATCGTACCGATCTAATGGTTTATAACCATTCTTATTTCTTTCACTATCTACCATTCTCATATGATCCCAACTTTATATATATATATGTTCCATCAATTGCCTCAATATTATAAACTGCCAGATTGTGTTGATATGATGTATACATACAGTATATCTGAACATATTTTCAGCATAATATGTGCAAAATATTCGGCAATCCTCTGTAAAAACAATCGTCTTCCGAATCTTCACGTGTCATTTCCTGACATCTTACCGTGCCGTTTTCAGACATCTTACCGCTGATATATCACACACAGACGGTGGCAAAGACATTGATATGATGCTTTCAATTGATCCAAGTGTTCTAAAGTTGTTTATCTCAAGTTTATCTTCCGTATACTTTTTTGTTTTCAACATAATATCTGCAAGATGTTCTGCGAATCCTTTGTAAAATCCATCACCTTTTCGAATCTTCCTGTGCTGTTTTTTTTCTTCAGACTGCAATATTGTTTTCTAATCGGGATCTCGTTTTTATTTGAAATCTCATTTTTGTTGCGTCTGTTTCAGAATGATTAAATGCATGTTTTTTAATTGAAGGTTTCTCTCTGTAGAGAGATAAGATGTTAATTGGATAGAGAAACAAATTATGTGAAGAGATGAGATTTCTCGTAATAGTGAAAAAAAAGTCCACCAAATCCTTAATTGATAAAGGTTTATACGGATCGTACATATGCAAATAACTCTTATATAGAGCACATGTATGTAAATTTTTCTATTTTTATTGTCCAAATTAAAAGATTGAGATTAAGTTTCAGGAAATTTAGTTTTGTGAGTTAGAAAATATAATTTTGTTTCCTTCGGCTATTTATAGGAAGAGAGAAACGGGCTTGCCGTATGAGAGAGCGATCAATGTAAGATGGGCCGACCCAATTAGAAAAGATTAAAATCGGCAGACGTAAAAATCAGCGGGTCGTAGCTCTTCGTAGTAGAAAATCCAGTAAACATTTGTTCGTCTGAGGAAGCTGACCTGAAACCTAAAAGACTCGTCGTCTCTCTTGCTCATACTCTGCTCGGTCGCCATGTTTAAACTTTCGAGGCACCTTCTGGACTCCTCAACGTAAACATTTTCCATAAGGGCGTTTAAAACCCTGCTTTAAACTTCCTGATTTATTTCCTTTTTAACGAATATATATGTTGTATCTGAGGTTTGTGTTTTATATGTGATTTGGTGTATGCTTTAGTTCCTCATTTAGCTTACGTCGATTGTTTGTGTTTTTAGTGTTGGGTTTTTCGGATTTATTAGAAATAGTGTTTCCGGGAAGACCAGACTTTTTTTTTTTTAATTTCTTTTTCGGAATTAGCTGTCAATTTAATTGCATACAGATGAGTGAAATGTCTTCAGACTTGTTCTTTTTTTGTTGTACGAGAATGAGATCGATTGACGACTGTAACATCGCACCAGGCTTAAGATGTTCTGTTAGTCTATTGTTTTGTATGATGCTTACCATGTGTTTGACTAATTATGATTGTTTACTGTCTGTATTTTCACTCGATAAGCTTTTTTGTGATTCCAGTTACTATATTTTTCTTCTATATGGTGCAGTGAATTATTTTCCCTGAAGAGTCTAGCCAGTGCAGCTGCTACTGACCTTAGATTATCTCGAAGCATAACCACTCAAACTGGAATTGCTTCTGGTATGCCAAAATTTGGGCATGATGGTACTATTCGAGCCATATTTCTGTTTATCCCTTCCTAAGGTTAATTTGTCTTTCTAATGATCCCTCATTTACTTTTCTTAAGGGAAACCCACGGCTAGAACATTTGCACCTTATTCTATCTTCAAGGGAAAAGCTGCGCTTTCTGCTGACCCTAGTCTCCCAATGTTTACTAAATTGGAAGTAAGATGTTACATGTGAAGAATAGATACCATCGTTATAAAGCTTTCATCTTTTGTTTTTTTTTTTTTTTTTTTACCCTTTCTGTTGGAGTTGGATATTAACACTATTTTTATATGCCCATCTTCTTTAGTCTGGAGACTACAGAGTTGAACGTCATGGTTCCATTATGTTAACCTTCTGGCCTGCTATTGGTGAACGTAAATATAATTGGGAGAAGAAACAGGTTACAAGAATTTGTTATTCCTTTCCTGAAGTACATATCTTTAGTGGGTACAAGGATTTGTGGCTTATCAAACTAAGTATTCTCGTACATATTGTAGAAGTTTGCTCTGTCAGCAACAGAGGTTGGGTCCCTGATCAGTTTGGGTGTGAAAGATTCTTGTGAATTCTTCCATGACCCAGCAATGAAGTCGAGGTTGATTTTCTCTTTGGTTCTGAATTGTCCGATTCCTCTCTATTTATGTTTTAAGTACCACAACAGTCTGAAAAGAAAAAAAGTATCTTCGGTTCCTTTGTGGTCCTCTTAATTTTCTTTTCTTTTAATATTTATCTGATATTATTGTCCACAGTAATGCAGGCCAAGTTAGGAAAACTTTATCTGTTAAAGCCCAACCTGATGGAAGTGGTTACTTCATTTCTCTGAGTAAGTGTTCCTTTATTGTATGAAGGCATTCATTTGAAATGGTTGTATTCATGAATGTTATTCAGTAAAGTCTCACATGCCTAACTTAGAGTTTAAGTACATACATATATTTGTGTAATGAAAGGAGCTTTGTCAGTTGTAGCATCCATTCTCCTTTATTTTTGAATACCAATGAAGAACATAAATATAGGAATCCATTATTGATATTATATGATTTTCAGGTGTTGTCAACAATATCCTCAAAACCAATGATCGGTTTGTTATTCCTGTCACTTGTGCTGAATTTGCAGTTATGCGAACAGCTTTCACTGTAAGTCGTCATCCCTTATTTGTTGTATTATGCTGATTCTAGTATATGAATCTAGAGTAATCTTGATCAAACCAATTTTCAATATAACTTCGTTTTTCGTTTTTCATCTTTTTTTCCTATATGATAAAGCGAGACATCATCCAACTGGATGCACTTTTTGTTTTGGTATTTAGGATGTTTAAAATTCATAGTATGTGATTGGTTTGATATCTATTACAAGGAGTTCAGTAGTGGAAATTTAAATATAGAGGATGTGAACACGTTGATAGACCAAATTCTTTGCCAAGCTGTAGGTGTATTATCTTCCTGTCTGAGATGATGAAATAGCGATCCTCCTTTTTTCTTGCCTATAAAGGTGGTATAGGTGGAAATGAGATTGGAAATTATATGATATGCTTATGCTATTTTATTTGTGTGTGTTCTGCCTGCATTGATGAATGATCATTTTCTTGTCGGCCATATTGCTCGTGTCTGTTAATTGCCGGCATTTCTTGTCTGCAGTTTGCTTTGCCTCACATAATGGGTTGGGACCGATTAACCAATCAGCCACTAGAGTTTGCCGCCAGCAAAAGTACACCAGCAGTGGCGGTTGCTGATCTTCAGAACTCTGAGTGGGATAGATAGGTGGAATGAATTTAAGTGTCAACCATTGTGTTTGTTAACTTGATTGTAGCCCTTGCAGTTTCGACATTGTTCCATGGTGTTGAATGTTTTAACAAACTTATGTCTAGTTAAGAATGCTTTTGATGCGCCTGTGAATAGCAGACTAGTTTGAATTATGGAGGTTTCTGAACAATTCGGAATTGTTTTGCAGCAAGTAATCCTGATATTTGGCACCTTATCTGGCATGTTGTTATGTCTTGCTCAAACCAACTGTCCTTGTTGGAGTATTATTAAGGTTTGTTTGCTTGATAACATTTTTGGTCTGATGAGTATTTTGTAGAGTTTTGTTTTCTTAATATTTGGTGAACTCGAACAAAGCTTCAAGGGTACATCTTCCCTAACTTTCAAGTATATTTCATATGCAAATGTTTTACTGGAATACAAAAGGCAATGTTGGATATCTGTAGTGAACACTCTGTATCATGGCCTGTAACTCGCCAAATTATAAAAAAGGAGGCTACAAAATGCAGCATCTACTTCTTGAATGATCTGCATTTGGCGCCACAACTTGTTTCTTGGATTAATCTTATTAACAATCCTAGTGTCACAATTTCCCATGAGAAGAAGAGTGTTGGTCGACCACGACCACTCTTTCCGTATTTGATAGACCAGAGCGGTTTACTCGGTTTGCTCGACTTGTTCAACCGGCTAACTAGACTGGTCTACTCCTTTAGGTATAGTGTCCTATACCAATGAGCATGTTAGAGCTAGCATGTAAAATAGGTGGATTTGCACCAATGGAAACCATATCAATATATTATCTCACTGACACATTTATGCTAAAATAAGCTTGATTTTATCATATAAATTATTCTTTGATATAAGAGAAAATAACCGTTTACTTATTATTGTTCACCATATATTACTTAATTATTATTTTATTATAAACTTTGTTGTCAAATAATGTCATTATTATTTACAAAAGTTATAGAAGTTGTACGTCTTCTTTATCTTGTTATTAATGAAATCAATAATATTTAATTGAAATTAATATTATTTACTTATGTAATCAACTTAAACAACAACAACAACAACATAGCCTTTAGTCCCAAGCAAGTCGGGGTAGGCTAGAGATGAAACCCAAGAGAAACACAAAAAGACTCGAACCAAAAGGAAGAGATCGAAAAAAAAAACGCGAGAGAGAGAGAAAGGAGCAAAAGTCACGGTTCTGGCACGTTGATAGCGGGCCTCCAAGCGCTCCTATCCACCGCTTAATCAACTTAAAATATGCAAATAAATTTAGAATTAAATAGTGTATAATTTTGCAAATTATACACACATGTTTTTTTAGAATTTGATTTTGTATACTAATTAAACAACTTTGATGTAGCAAATGCCAAAAACTAAATCTCATCTATAATCAAGATTTTTCTAATTTGCATTATAAGGATTTATAGTTTATTTAGCATATTCTGCAATGAAAATATATTTTCCAAGAATTTCATTATATAAAGAAATGTCAATAATATACAAATAAATTCTAAAGAACAGTTAATAAATGTCAATTTTAATTTTTGACCATCAGTAAAACTATTTAGTGATCTGGTCATTATCTCTTAAAATGTAAATTATATTAATTTGAATAATAATTTATTTTTTAGACATAACGAAATAAAGCTTATATTGGCAAAGATTAATTCACCAACTTGATTTCGCCTGATTAATTGGAAGGAAAAATTCTACCTAACCTGTTACGATTTTTCTATAAATATTTTTGAATTAAAAGTGAATATTTGTGAAAAAAAATTAATATTATGGCTAGAACATAAAATATGTTGTAATATTTGTTTTGACCAATATATTATCAGCATGAATCACGGAAAAATAATTTTATAATTTATTATAATAGATATCAATGAAATTATCGCAGATATTAATAAAATTATTTAAAGAAACAATATTTTTGATCATATCTGATTTGATCTTATTTGAAAACGTGTATATAGAAGAAACTAATGCATATATTAAAAAAAAAATCAAAAAAAGGTATGCATAAAATGCTCTCAAAATTTTTTACTATTATTTTTAGTAAATAGTTATTCTTATTATGTATATATATATATATACACACACATATAGAGTTTTGTAAATTGTTTCATAAAATTACTCTCCAAGAATATCCAATTACTTTGGTAAACGGTTTCATAAAAATACTCCAAAATCTTCCAATTACGTACATGTTGACATTCAAGTTATCATTGAATTGAACCGAGGAAGGACGGTCCGAGAACCCGGGCCAGACCTCTGATGATTATGAAGTGCCGGACTGACCGGGAAGCAGAATTGATCGAGGGAACAAGTGAAATATATTCCCAGGTCGGCTATGGAAGAGCGGATCTGACCTCGCCAAATGTCGGACACAGAAGTGGACCCTGTGGCTTAAGGAACACTTCGATAATGAAGATCCGACCTGGATATTTCCCGAAGTCGGCACCCAGTTGGCTACGGGTCCCGGAATTAGTAAAGTATTGCCCCTTGTCAGCTAATGATTGTTGATGGGGGCACATCCCATAACCTGACAGCCTAGAGCACCTAGTCCGACAGAAAGGCTTGTCCGCATTTAATACCCTACAGAGGAGCATTTAATGCCTGACATGTAATGATTGAAGAAACCTCAAATCGCATTTAATATCTGTCAGATAGACGTCGGCCTGTCCCCTAGGTGCACTGTACGACAAGACAGGATGAACAGTGAAGGAACAGTGCCGAATTTAAGACTACTATAAATAGGAGACCCTTTCATTTATTTTGGGTTGTTGAATCTCAAGTAACTACCTTTTCTCTACTGCTTCTCTCTCTACAATCTGTAATAAATTCCTGTAAGAATTCCATGTATAACAAAAGTACTGACCTCGTTCACAGAGGCCGACCTCGTAATTACGTAATAAATTCCCTTTTTTCGTAATATTCCTTTCTTATTCCACCTTTTTACTCTCAATACATTTTATTTTAATCGTTGATCGGATCCGTCCATCAATAGTACACCATGACTAATACTAGTATCACCCAGTGCATTTTGAACAAAAAACAATATGATAGAGAAAAAAATAATAAAAAAAATCATAAATAATAGTAATTGATGCCTAGGACGACCAACTATGTTTTTTTTAGGGGTCAAATTTAATGATGCAACTGTACAAAATAAAATTATTATTAAAAAAATAACAAAAAAATATCTTCTAAATGTAGAAAAACTATAATTAATAATTATTTTAACTTCCAAAAAGATAAATTAGACAAAAATGAGAAAGAATTCAGAGTTACAATTTGTGAGGAGAGGTAATGCAAGCCTAGGACGACCGCCTATGATGGAACTGAAAAAAAAAAAGATTATTATTATTATAAAACAATAAGCGAAAAACAACATTTAAATATATGATTAAAAAAATAAATTTGCTACCGTAAAAAGAATTAGACATTTTGATAATAAATTTAGAATTACCGTTGCTATTATTGTTTAACAATGATGTCGAGGGTGCATTTTCACCATTGTTCTTTGTAAGATTAATTAAAGGCAGTAAACTGCTCCAATATGCATTTTTTATGTGAGTTATGGAACTATATTAAGATGAACATTGATAATTTGGGAATGAAACACCTAACATTAAAAATTAATTAATAGTCAATATAAAAAATACATAATAATAACAATATATGTTATAATTTTATAAAATATACAACAATAAAAAAAATATACCAGTTTCTTGAATGATAGAATCCAGTCTTTGGAACGAAGTTGTTGGCATAGACACATCCGATATTGTAACTACAACAATAAAATTAATATAATTAAATTGTGCCCTACAATTTATTTTTTAATATTTCAAATACAATATCTACCTTTTCCGTAAGGTAAAACTTACTATTTTAAAAACATGTGATAAAATTAAATGGAGCAGACACAAAAACATGAAATTTTTCGTAATATAACAATCACTATTATGTGTATTAAACTTATACATGTAATGATTCTACTTGTGTAAATGAATAATTTTTGTACTACAATTTAAAACATGTGAGCCAATTTTTTAAAAGCAAAACATTTGGACAATTAAAAATCGGACTAGTTTTTAAAAATTGGGTTGCATTTAAAATTTTAATAAATAGATAAATAAAAATTGGGCCAGTATTTAAAGTTTTTATCCAACCCAATATGGAGGTTTCAGGCCCGATGTGGTTATGTTGGTGGAGTGAGTTTGAACTTATATGTTGTAATATGTGACACTGAAATATAAAATGAACACGTATTGTACGTATGTCTCAGAGTCATGCAGAATACAATTAATCTGAACCCTAACATTTTTTGCAAATCTTCGCCACTTCTCTCTCGAGTTTCTCGCTGCCTCTCTCTCCATCTCCCTCTCTCTCTATATTTATTTCTTCCGTCACAAACTGTATTTCTCAGCTTTTCAAAGATTTTTCGCCGAGAATAAAGGAAAATTAACATTTTAACAGCGATTTGTTCAGTTGAACAACCGAAAATCGCTAAAAAAACACCTAAAATCTTAGTTTTCAGGCGAGAGAGAGATCGAAAAAGCAAAATCAATCTGATTTTTCAAAACCGACCTCTGAGTTATAGTATTTCGGTTCAAATTGGTCGATAACAAAAGGATCTATCAAGATTTAGAAATTTGGAAAACATATATATATATTTTTTAATAAATAGCCAAATCGACCGGATTTTAGAAAACCATTAGCGATTTGTAGTATTTCAGCTCAAATCCGTCGATTACAAATAAGATCTACCAATATATAAAGCTTTGCATTTTTTTTATAAGATCTATGCATTGCGAATATTTGATTGTTCTGTTTTTATATGAAAAATAGAATGTTATAACAGATCTACTAAGATTGTTATGAGTTTTGTTTCGAAATTTTGAGGTATCTTATGATATCTTTGTATATTTATTAATAATTTGTAAAAGGAGTGCAATAATTTAAAAGATATATTAAGATCTAAAGAGATATTATATGTATTTTTTTTTAAAAACGCAGATCTCTGTCTAATTCAAATATGCTCTCTTTTATTTTTTATTTTTAAATTTTTTGTTAACTAGTAACAAATCTAGTGCTAAAACCATTTTTTTTTTATTCTGTGGAGGATTTAATATACTGTTTACAAATGTAGTTGAATATTGACAGATCTGAGTGCTAAAACAATATTTTTTTGAGAAATTTTGTATGCGTTTTACAAATGTTGACCTTATTTTCAAAACTTTTGTTCGCATATTTGAGTTAACTTAAAAATTATTTTAAATCAAACAACTGTAACGTTTACAATAATTGTTACGATATTGAACACAGTAAATAAGTTCTTGTAGATTTAATACAATCAAACATTAATACCAAAGACTTATATATTTTGTGAAATAAAAAAATAAAAATATAATAAATTGAAAAGTAATGTCTTTTAGCGAGAATGCCACGTAGATAAAATTAAATAGATTTTATTTATTGCTTATAGCTAAACTCTTTCATAAAAATATCCTCCAAAAATCTAATCAGATGTTCTCATTCCAATTAAACTATTGTTGCTCCACTTTGAAAATTTTTGTGTCACTCTTGCCAATATGAGTTTGACGACTTGAGAAGTACTAGAGAGCTATATGAGTTTGAAGTAATAGAGTGCCTAAGATATTTAGTGATAACAAAATGACATTTAGCTTATATACTTTATTTTTTTATATATAATTTCAAACTTAATGTTTTATTACTATAAAATTAAATTAAACAACATAAACAATCTAGTTACTAATAAATCACTAAACTATGTAAAATTATAAACACATAAGTTCAATTTTAGAAAAATGAATTTATA